CTAAAAATTTTTTTTAATTTTTAAGTAATCTCTACACCCAGTGTGGGGCTCGAACTCACATCCCTGAGATCAAGAGTCACCTATTCCAGCTACTGGGTCAGCTGGGTGCCCCCGGAAAGTGCTACCCTTCATCAGGCTTATCATTCTTCTGAAATGTGATCTTTTTCTTTTCCTTACCTTTCTCTTCATGAAATCATAGAAGAACTAATGAGCAAAAATTGTATATACTCTACCCAACCTTCTCAAGGCCTCCGCCCCCACCCCTATGTTTTATTACTATTTGCCTACCAGTGTGTGATTGCTTCAGATTATGAAAATAAAAGGTCATGAATGACTTAGAACAGTAAAAAACATTTTGGGATCCTTAGTAGACTTCATGATAAAACTGAATGAAACAGCACATAATAGATGCTTTGGACCAGTAGGGTTTTTATTTTTATTCTGCTCAAGACCAGTAAGTGCCTTGTCTTACATATCCAGGCAAATTAAAATTAAGAATTTGTCATAGACTTCAAGTACTGCTTGAGCCTCACACTCAGAGTGAGCCTATCGAGAACCTATAAACACTGGAATTGCAGGCATTTCCCCCTTTTAATCGAAAAACATGACATTAGTCTTATTATTTTTTTCTTAATATTCAGAAAACTTGTGGGAATTATACAATAAAACCAAAGAACTGAAAGGAAACTGCCTAAAATAACCAATTCTTTTTATTCCATGTAAATGTAAATATAATGACAGCTCTTTTAAAGTGATAATAAACTGAGTCTTGATTTCTCTACACTGGTAAATGAAAATCCATGATTAGGAATAAGCAAGAAGGAACTTGAAATAATTGTCAGTTTTGTTCCATCTAAGTTCTTAAAAATGCCTATTGGTAAAATGTAAAATCTCCATGCATATATTTAGTCACCTCTTCCCCCAGCCCCTGTATACTTACTCTTACAAACAGATCTGGTTTGGGATGCTGAAGTCTTTTCCGGTGTCTTTTTATTTCTGATTCTGTTTCCTTCTTCTTTTAAACTACTTTGTTTTTATGTTACAACTTTTCTGATTTCTCGGAATTTTTCTTTGCTCCTTTTGCACCTTTACTGTGCCAGGCGAGCTTAGTATCAAAGTGTCAGTTTCCCACCAAAGTAATTTCGTTGAGCTACTACTGAGATTGCATTGAATTCATGGTTTCTTTTCAAAGTAATTGATATCTTTACAGTATTGAGTATTCCTAGATTATGGTAGATATTTCTCTTCACTCAGATACTCTTTTAATGTCTTTGAATAAAGTTTTATTTTTTTTTAATTTTTTTAATGTTTATTTATTTTTGAAAGACAGAGAGAGAGCATGAGCAAGGGGGGGGGGGGTGGTGCTGTAGAGAAAGAGAGGGAGACACAGAATCCAAAGCATGCTCCAGGCTCTGAGCTGTTAGCACAGAGACTGACATGGGGCTTGAACTCACGAACTGTGAGATCATGACCTGAGCAGAAGTCGGATGCTTAACCAACTGAGCCACCCAAGCGCCCCATAAAGTTTTAGTTTTAATTGCAGTGTGATTCACATAACATAAAACTCACCATTTTAAAGTGTGTAACTCAGTGATGTTTAGTATATTCTCTATCTTATACAATCATTATCACTCTCCAATTCCAGAATATTTCCGTCACTCCAAAATGAAAACCCCATACTTATGATCAGTTACTCTTCTATTATCCCCTCCTCCAGACCCTGGAAACTCCTAGGCTAGTTTTTGTTTGTAGATTTGTCTATCTGGGCATTTCATGTGAATAGAATCATACAAGTCCCAGAATGTGGTCTTTAATGTCTGACTTCTTTTACTTAGCATACTGGTTTTAAAGTTCATCCATGCTATAGCATGTATCAGTACTTTCCTTTTTATGGCTGTATTATATTCCATTGTATGAATATGCCACATTTTGTTTATCAGTTGATGGACATTTGCTTAGCTTCTACTTTTTAGCTCTTATGAATAATGCTTCTGTGAACTTTCAGGTGCAGGTTTTTGTGTAAAAACATGTTTTCAGTTCTTGAGTATACACCTGGAATGGAATTGCTGGATCATATAGTAACTCAACTCTTTGAAGAACTATCAAACTCTTGTATAGTAGCTATATCATTTTATGTTTGTACCAGCAATGAGTCAAATTTCTGACTTCTCCATCCTCACCAATACTTGTTGTTTTCTTTCTTTTCTTTTTTTGTGTTATAACCATCTTTGTGGGTATGAAGTATTCACTCATTGTGGTTTTGATTTGCATTTCTATAGTGAGTAATGATGTCTAGCATCCTTTCATGTGCTTGTTGGCCAATGTATATCTTCTTTGCAGAACTGTCTATTCAAATGCTTTGCCCTTTTTAAAATTGGAGTATTTGCCCTTTTTTTTTGAGTCCTAAGAATTTATTTATATCTTAGATAGTAGATCCTTAGTAGGTATATGATTTGCAAGGGGCACCTGGGTGGATTAGTTGGTTAAGCAACCGACTCTTGATTTTGGCTCAGGTCACGATCTCATGGTCATGAGATTGAGCCCCACATTGGGCTCCACGCTGGGCATGGAACCTGCCTGAGATTCCCTCTCCCTTTCCCTTTTCCTCCCTTCAGCCCCTCCCCTGCTTGCTTGCTCTCTTTCTCTCAAAAAACAAAACATGATTTGCAAATATTTTCTTCTTTTCCTTGGATTGTCTTTTCACTTTCTTGATAGTGTCCTTTGAAGCAGAGAAGGTTTTAATATGATGTTCAGTTTATTTTTTCTTGAGTTTCTTATCTAAGTAATCATTGCATAATTCAAGGTTGAAAAAATTTATACCTTTCCTTCCTCTTAAGAGTTTTAATTATTTCATGTAGATCTGGTCTATTTTGAGGTAATTTTTGTATAATGTATGAGTTAAAGGATCAAATTCATTCTTTTGCATCCGTTTGTCCCAGCACCATTTGTTGAAAAGACTATTCTTTCCCTCTTAAGTGGTCTTGATACCCTTGTTGAAATTTAACTGTCTATAGATCTATGGTTTATTTCTGGACTGTTAATTCTATTCCATTTGTCTATATGTTTATCCTTATGCCAGTATCATGCCATTTGATTACTATAACAAGTTTTGAAATTGGGAAGTGTGAGTTCTCCAGCATTGTTCTTTTTCAGTATTGTTTTGACAATTTGGGGTCTCTTATTGCCATACAAATTTTGGGATCAACTTGTTCCGTATCTGCAGAAAAAGGCAGTTGGAAAGGAAAGTTGAGGAATTGCATTGACCTTATAGATCAATTTAGGGAGTATTGCCATTTTCAAAATGTTGTTTTCAATTCCATGAACACGGGATGTCTTTTATTTATTTAGATCTTCTTAAGTAAAGTTTTATTTTTATCTTCATATGAGTCTTACACATTATTGTTAGTTGTGCTTCTGAGTTTTTGTAGTCTTCAATATAAGGATATTTTAGCATTAAATATTTTTTTGGCTTTGTAAGTTTTTATTTTAATTCCAGTTAGTTTAACATACAGTGTTATATTAGTTTTAGGTGTATAGCATATTTTTTTTTTAGTTCACTAATCCTGCTATATAGGAAAGTTGTTGATTTCATCAGGGATAAACAAACAGACCCAAAGAATAGAATAGAAAGCTTAAAAACACCCACACATAGATGCTTATGTGACTTAGGACAAAGGTACCATGGGAATTTAATGAGGGGGGAAAAGATGGTCTTTTCAATAAATTGTGCTGAAACAATTGGACTTCCAAAAGGTATAACATGAGCATTCGCCACTACCTTATACCACATAAAAAATTAATTTGAGTGGAATTATAGACCAAAATGTCAAAGGAGAACAATACAACTTCCCTAAAAAGTGGATTATTTTCATAACCGTAGTCAAAGATTTATTGAAAAGGCCACAAAAAAATACTAGTCATTTAAAAAAAAAAAAAAAAGGACTGTATTTAAATTAAGAACTTGTTCATCAGTGGATCTTATTAAAGAGTGAAAGGACAAGCCATAAACAGGAGAAGATATTTATGACACATATTGTTGACAAAGGACTCATAAACCAATAGAAAAATGAGCAAAAAGATAAACAGGAACTTCAAAAAATAGGATATTTGAATGAGCAGTAAGTATGTTTGTCTTCAGAAAAATAAATATTCAAACCTCAACAACATAATCTGTAGACCCACTAACGTATAAAACACTGATGATGCTAAATGTTGGTGGCAGCGTGGAGCTACTGAAACTCTCAGATATTGCTGGTAGAAGTGTACAGTAGTCATCTACTTTGAGAAAATGTTTGATGTTTTTACTAAAGCCAAATTTACATCTCCCTTATAACCTAGCAATTCCATTCCTAGGATATATACCCATGAGAAATGAGTGCAGATGTCTCACACCCACCAGAGATGTGTAGCATCATGTTCATAGTATCCATATGTATAGAAGCCTCATATTGGAAACAATCCAAATGTTCTGTAGTAGAACGGATACATTTTGTTATTTTTATACAGCGGGGTACTAAACTGCAGTACAAAAGAACACATGCTAATGCTACATAAAACAACATGGATGAATCTCACAGACACAATATTGAGGGAAAGAATCCAGACACAGAAGAAGACATACTATTTGAGGGCATGTAAGATGAACAGGTGAAACCAGGCATCGTGGTAACAAATGGTTATAGCGGTTATCTCAGGATTTGGGGGAAGGAAGAGGAACAAAGAAGCTTTCTGTGGTACTGGAAACGTTTTGTATTTGATCTGGGTGGTTGGTACATGAAGGTGTAACATGATAAAGATTCATTGATCTGTATGCATGTCAGGCATTTGCACTTCACTGTGTGTGTGTATACTTTAATTTTAAAAGTAACATGCATATATAGAGAGAGATTGAATAAAATAGGCACCATACTCAGGCCCAATTTTTCAATTCAAAACTTGCCCTTTACAAGAGATGAAGGATGTTGACAAAGGGCAACCAAGATACCGTCAGTTTTTTACAGGACTTCACAAGTAAGTCATAGGAGAGGAAACCTGCGGGCAGGGGTTGTCTTTCTTTCCGGAGAGAAGAAAATCATGGTGAGTATTTTGAAAAGGAGTTTTAAAGCAAGTGATTACTCAAAGATTTTAAGTCTATTGCCTAGCAGTACATGCGTGACAATTGCTACTATGTTTCTAGTGGGGAGGGATATGGTGCGTTTGAGATGGTAGAAAGACTGAGAATCTGCTCTGGAGCATTTCTTCATTGCCATTAAAATTCCTTGCTTTGCCTGTTCTGTAAAAGGTCACTGAACATTCGAGCATGTATAGCTCAGTAAAATTCATTTATACCAACATTGTAAGTTTTTATAATTTCCTAAAGTTTGGTAAACTACTTCAGAGGTTTTCCTATTTTTATGGGAGTGCAGGGTCAAAAACTAGTGAAAGAGAACAATTAACTCCTGAAATTCTGTTCCATGATTAACTTCATTTTGTTAGTATGAATTTAAATGTTCATGGGTCATTAATATTCTTTAAATAATGAATGACAATGCTGATAGTTTAATTTTATGATTAGCTTTCTGTTCACTAATCAGTATGTATTTGAAGGAATATTTTTTAGAAGTAAAGCATCTAGAATATCTATTTCATTTTACCATATAGTAGGTTAGTGCAGCTGAGTAGATTAACCCTTAATGTCCATGAGAAGTATCTTAAACTAGTTCCAAGGTGAGTAAGTTGAGTGGAAAGTGTAATGACAATAACAACAGCTATCAGGAAGTATCACGGCCTTCAGTAGTCTTAGATGAATGCAAAGGTGATGTTCTTTGAAGAGCGTATCTTCTTTGCTCCCTACCACAGATCTTGTAAGACTAGAATCCTTCAAATGTTACTTCAGATCCAAGTACCTCTCTGTCTTTGACCTGTTCTTAGGAAAGGAGGTGAGGAAATAGACATGGTGACCCTCAGTCCAGAGCTCCTACTACTAATGATTTTGGGCTCTTATTCCTGCTAGTGCACCTCCCTATATGTCCTCGATTTGGATTGCTCCACTGAGGAAAAGATCTTCTGCCTCTGACACTAATTGGACATTAGCTTCTATTCTTTTTATCATGTCTCATCTTTATGAGGATAAGCAAAGAGTATTATTGCAATAGTTAATGGAAGAAATCTTAAAGAAAATGTAAAATTACTGTAAAATAGAGGAATCAAATGTCAGAGGAAATCTGTGCACATAAGCAAGCTGGCACTGAGTAGTCGTAAAACATGAGACGTGCCTTTCCTGATACTTAGGAACTCATTGAAGGCCACTTCAATTAAGTAACCTATTGAGAACTGAAATGTCTATAAAAGACATAATCTGATTTATGACTCACATATGGAAAGTGCTGTTTTTAGTGCTTATAAAGAGTAGAGTTTCTTCACGTAATCCAAAGATGGAACAAACAGGACAGATACCTGAAATAATATGTATTTTTAGTTCTAAACAAGAGAACAAGGAAACAGTGCTAATTAATGAAAGAGCATGTTTGTAATGTAACAAGATTTAAACCTAGAATTAGGTTATGATACACTCAGTGACTATGAGGCACAGTAAAGAAGTATAAGGGATTAAAAACATTTTGCTCTAAGTAATGACACTGAAAAACTGTATTTGATAAATAGGACAGTTTTGGCAGAGAACTTAAGGTCACTCTATTTATTAATCCTACAAATGTCTAATATTATTTTTTAACGTGTATTAATGTATAAAATATTAGGGAAACATTTTTACGTTGTAAGCATTTTCAGTGAAAACTGATGGTGTTTCTATTATTCCAAATTACATTTTCCTTTTTTCGTTTTTTTCCCCCCTAGGAAACTGACTGGACACTCTTTCCACATGGGCTATAGCATGGCAATTTTGAATGGCATTGTAGCTGCTTTTACTGTAGCATGGTGCCTCATGTAAACCTACACCGAAGCAATATTTTTGGCAAAACCTAGTCATGATTGCTTTGTAATCACAGGGAAGAACATCATTTGCCTACTCAGAAGACCAAGAAACCTGCTGTTCGTTATGTGGTTCAGATATGTATCATATCATCGACATTATGGAGGACCATCTTTTGTTGTTTTTTAAAGGAGGACCTTCATAACCATCATTCTAGAGCTTAGGCATTGAGAATATCTGAGTATTAAGTTTCAAGTAATTTCTTAAAAGTGTAAGATGTTTACCTCATCTTTTTACTTTTGTATGTGTTGTCCTTATAAATTATAGAAAACATTTTAATGGAGATCAAACATAAAAACTTGAATACAGGGCAATGCTTACCTTGCTATCTATAATACTACATTTTTGCTAAGAAGTACTAGTAGTACTATTTAACTGAAATGGAAATACTTCTTATTTATTCATTAAATGAGGAAAGCAAACAATGCCTACTACTTTGACATTTTATAGAAGCTACTTTTAAATCAGAATATTTAGTTTTCAGTAGTCATATAATCAGTAGAAGGGTGCATTTATATTTTTTAATGGGGTATAGTTCCTTACGCGGTTTTTGGGTTTTTTTTTTTTACATATTTTCTACTACATACTGAATTTGTATGTTTTTAAAATTGTTACATTAGACAAATGTAAATGTTATTTTTTAGTTGGTGCAAACCTAATACCTACAATTTTAAATGAGTATTTTGTCTTTTAAAAAAAGCAAAACAAAACAAAACAAAAAACCAAAAAAAACCCACCAAAAAAGACAAACTGCACTGATCTGAGTTTAAAATTAAATAAACCTATTTTAGCAAAAAAGGACTGAAAAAAAAGTAAGTTACTTAAGCCATTAAAATATTAAGAAATTTGAATTGTTCACTATTTCTGTCTCCAGTTGCGATATTTGTCTTGGTGTATATATGGTTACTCCAACAGAACTGATATTATTTTGTTTTTAATAAATATAAATCTGAAATTTTTATATTTAGAAATGCTTGAACTACTTTGTTTTTAATCTCAAAATTCTAGTTACCAAAATAGAAAGAAGGTATTTTGATACAATGTATATATGTATAAGTTTTTTATATATAGTTTCATAATTTTCCTATTTAAATGTTCTATAATTGTGGTGTTAGTTTTTGTTTTCATAGCAATTAAGCTTAATTGTTCCCACTTCCTTTCTAAATACCTGTTTAGAAAGTCGCTTCAATTTTTAGAAAGATAGACCATTTAAAATGCTATTTTCTCTGGCCATGAAACAACTTATCTTAGGAAAGCATTGTGTAGCAAAACTACTTTATTCAGGCTAAATGGGAAATGAATATGTGCAGTATGTTCCTGTTATCTGCTAAGTGTTGTTACTGAGTAAATGATTTGATATTTCTAAGTCTTAACACTTTTTTACTACTCAAAAACGTTTCATTGGAAATAACAAATTGTGCCTCAATTTATCTGAAGTGTTTACATTAATATGGGGGGAGGGGTGTGTGTGTGTGTGTGTGTGTGTGTGTGTGTGTGTGTGTGTACACTTACATACATATATAAATCCCATGGCTTAAAGTATTCCTTCTAAAGTGGTTGTTGAAATGAATTTCTTTTCACTCCCTGCCTTCCTCCTCATACCCTCCCAGTTCTTCCTAAGTTGTAACAAAATTAGTTTTTCTTTTCTCCACCCTTCAAAGCCCTCTCCCTCAAATTTGGATAGTCCTTCCAGATCTTTGTGTCATATGACTAGGAAAAATATTACAGTACATCTTCTATATGTAGGTATCTTTAAGATACTACATTTATATATAATATAAATACATATAGATATATATCTATAAGATATTTCTTTTGGAGCACTATTTCTGCTGGCCTAGCACTTCTTTTTCTTAGGAAGTTCCTGTCTCCAGTCCATCATAAGGTCCAAATATAAATCATCCTTCTTCCATAGCAGAGTGATTGGCTAAGGATAGGTACATAACCAAAGCTGGGACAGTCCTAGTTTTTCATCTCTTTTGGCCTCTGTGATCACGACAAGCGTGCCAGCAAGGTTGGATTTCAATGAAAAACCCTCTTCCTGGTTTATAGAGGATGTCTTCTCATTGTATCCTCACATGGTAGAGAGAGGGCTAGCTGTCTTCCTCTTACACTAATTTCATCATGGGGCCTCCACCCTAATGACCTAATTACCTCCCATAGGCAGGTAATTTAGAAATGCTGTTTTTTGGAGGATTAGAGTTTCAACAAATGAATTTAGGGAGGGGACAAACCTGCAGCCCATAAAAATATCCAGTATCAAAAGTAGGTTCTTTGAAAGATAGGTTTCTAGTAAAAACATTTTAAGAGGTTTTCTGTATTCATTTTCTCATTTCTGTTCATGTTCCTGATTGTATCAGGACCTTATATTGCTAACAACAGAAACCATCTGACTACCTTGAGAAAAAGGGAGTTTATTGGAAGGATATCCAGTGGCTCTCAGAACTGGTGGGCAGGAACCAGGACATACTAGTGGTGGAAAGTACAGGAAGAGGAAGCAAAGAGTCTGCTTGAGAGTGGGAGCAGCCTGGTCAGGATGATATAATGAATCCTTCCTGTCATTTTTCTTATTCCTTGCAAGATTAGCTCAGAGTTCAGAGTCCTTGGAGAGAGTGCCCAGTTGGCCAAGATTGGGTCATGTGCCTATTCTTTTGGCTTCTGTAATTGAAGGTAACATCTGGAACTCTTCTGGGATGGCTGAATGTGTAATCATCAAAAAAGACAAATGTTCACTACAGTTCACTCTTGGCTATTCAGTTTCCACACACATTCCATTCCTTTTATACTTCAATTTCCAAAAATACTCATACCCAACAGTGCAGCTATTGTTTACTGTATTCATGGCCAAGGCCTTTGGATTATGTTCATTTTTCAAGTTTTGCTACAATCTCATTGATGTTATGCAAATCATGCTAAACAGCCATTTTAGTACTAACACAGACAACAGAAAGAGATGGGAAATTTGTTCAAATACATGTTACATATAACAGCAAGGAAATACAGGTGGAAGTTATTGTCTTATTTAACTGCCTTAGACTTTACTTCTTCTGCATCTATTCTTTTATTTTTGTTTTGGCTACTGCCTTGACCAACTATGTTTCTTCCCTGAGAGACTGACCAAATTTAGACAGGTCTAAGCTCTTTCTTTTATCACTATATTTGGCAACGTAAGAATACCCCTCAGAGAATCTTCAGTTTTCCTTCCATACTCTCCCCTGCTCTTATTTGTGAAGCAACTGTATCATAAGGTTAAAACCCCAACTAACATGGCAACCCTCTTTTTTTTTTTTTTTTTTTTTTTTTTTTTTTTTTTTGCAAGATTACCTGGTGGCATAAAGAATCCAAAATTACCATGTGGCTATGTGAACTTCCAGTTACTTTCAACTAATTTCTTTCAACTAACTCCTAAGTACTAAAATCTATAAACACAGTAGAGTATGGAGTCAGAGGAACAAAAAGCAGATGTTTTATTAGAGGATAATTGGGTGAAATAGAAGCTTCTTAGTTCTTGGAGCTAATACAGGAATGGGAGAAGTAGCATTAAAAATCAGTTGTTGAATATAAACACACACTGCATTGGGAGTGTTGTCTTTTAGCTGGCTTCATAACTAAGTCTTCAAGCACTTTATCTTATGTCTCCTGTGTAATAAGTTCCTTGGCCAGAACAATGTGTGGGAATTCATGATAATGTATAATTATTTAGTAAATCCATAAATGGTGGTGCTGCCAGAAATGTCAAGGGCAAAAAAAGCAAAAAAACCCATATTGTGTATCAATGAGGACAAAACTAAAACATTACCTCTTCTAATGAAATGAGTTGGTTACCAGGGAGCTGGCTGACTCCCAAGATATGTTACCAGTAGAAGTGCTCTAGGCAAAAGCGAAGTGGGGAAAGTAGAGAAGGTGAGGGAGGGGAGGAGGCAGTTGCCAGAAAAGCCTCTGAAAGTGCAGTTCTGTTTGTACACCATCCTTGCTATCTTGGCACTTTGTTAATACTCCCATTTAGCACTGGCTTGACAAGATATTAACATTTACAGAAAAGGTTATCTTGTTACCTAATTATTCAGGGCCTCTCACAGTGAGGGCTTTGCTGTGAGCGTTAACATAGCTCAGAAACTTGCTCACATTCTGGGTCCATTTTAAGAAATCCACCTATATACCCCTTCCAACCTTTCTTAAGTTGGCACCAATCCTTTTCCAAGCACCCAAGAATCCAGCCAAACCCCAAGTTCAGTTTCCATGAATATTCATAATCTTATTTCATACCATATCCCTTCAAGCCAAGGAGACAAAATGAACTGCTCAAGTCCCTAGGAGGACTGACTGTCCTCTCCTTTGCTGCCAACCATGAACAGGGGATTTAATGCTCCCCACCACCTCCTTTGTGGCTGGTAGTAACATAATACACAGAACCACCTATAAGTCAAGCTTGAATTTTTTTCCAACATCAAGTTATCTATACGGAGTTCTTGTGAGGTGATAGTTGTGAATTGAATGAAAAGAGGCAGCATGGCAGAAGAGCATACTGGGAATGTGATCACACAACTTACTTATGCCTTTAGGACTGGCTCAGGACACTTTTCTGGATGATAGAAATCAAAGGATTCACTTAGGTCAGTGATTCTCATCTGAAGGCAATTTTGCTTCTCAGGGGTAAAATACAACAATTTAATGAAATATTTAGAGACATTTTTGATTGTCACAATTGTGGAGTGCTACTGGCGACTAGTTGATAAACCAGAGATGCAGCTAAACATCTATAATACTCAGGGCACCTCCCCACAACAGAAAGTAATTGGGGCCCAAATATCAATAGTGCCAAGGTTGAGAATCCCTGATTTATATTTATTAGGTCTAGATAATATCCTGTTTAGAATATTATTTATTCTAATATCCTGTTTAGAATTGACAGCCAGGATCAAGGTTACCTGGAGTTCCAAGATCAGGTGTTCATTCTCCAAAAGACCAGATAGAATATGCTGTTTCTCAAGATGAGAGAGTTACTAGCCTGAGAGGACTTGTCTCTGTGCCAGTACGCATTTGGACCTCTGGCTGGCAAGGTCTGTCACAGACACTAGTCATTAACTACAGTGACCTTGTATATTATTAACGTTTCTCACATACTACTACTTCTGGTCAAACAATTCAGTTCACTTAAAAAAAAAATGCTTCCACAAAGGTTATATACAACAATGCTGTTGTTGAATTGGAAACTGAAACCAGACCACATTTGGCCATTTCAAGTACCTTAAAGCCCTGCGTACTGTCAAAATGGGTGGTAAGGTACTGAGTGTAGTGGTTGATAATCCACCAAGGGGAAATCAAGTTAGAATATTTTAAATAGTCTTAACACAGGGGCTTAAATTCCTCAGGAATAAGGTTTTAGTCACCCCACTGGATAAAAAACCTACACCCATTAAGAATTCTGGCTGAAAGTCAAGGGAACATGGAATGGGATTGGATAAACTAAGTCATGAATACTATCTAGGGTCTCATGACCAGTTTCAAAAACAGAGCTATATAGCCTCTACCTATATTCCTTTCTATGGCATGTATGTTTTTAAACCAAATTTAGCTTTACTTTTTTGTTTCTTCCATTGTTATATATAGGATTTTTGACATTGGCTGATCTAATGTGCATGGATTGCAGAATATTGTGATGGGATTAATATAGAACTGGGGAGGAATGGACGTTTCTGAGGTCCTGGATATGGAACTGAATATAGTAACCTGAGACTTGATTGTCTTTCTGTGAGGAAGAGTGCATTCTTAGTTGAATGAGAGATGACTATTTTGTTAAGTGGGATGATGTTTTGAAGAAGTATAATCATGGGAAATTGTGTATGGGATTAGGTGTTCGGAATTCCTTGTTAGGTGTTTGTGGGAGGGAAGACTGCATTACATTAGAGAAGGCTAAGAGATTAGATATTTTCTTTCTCCCAAACTGATTGCTTGGTGCCACCACTTCTCCCAAACCTTGGTGCCACCACTTGTATGTTCCTGGCAGAGTTTTGAGTTGTGAATGAATGACACAGTAACAGAAAGCTTAGAATGTATTTGCTGTTGTACCATTCTTTGGCATTGGCAGTGGTTTCTAGGGTGTTCAGCCGTGATTGGGCCACTAATAGAATTCTAACTAGGCTGTTTTGAAGCTTCTCTTAGCTATAATCTCTGCTACCACGCTTTCCTTGATTTCTGTCGTTTTATGATCCTAGTTTTTGGCCTTTCTCTCAATTCTGTAAGATACTCCCTAATCTTAGAATAAAATTACTTTCTTATCTAGCTAAAATTAGATTCTGATGTTTAAGATCAAGAACTAAGAATTCACGATGCCTGGGTGGCTCAGTTGGTTAAGCGTTGGACTCTTGATTTTGGCTCAGGTCATGATCTCGCGGTTTGTGGGTTGGAGCCCCACGTAGGCCTCTGTGCT